TGATGCTTCCCAGGGTGTGCATTAGCAGGAAGCGGGAACTGGAAGCAGAGCTGGGACTGTTTATTTAAGTGGTGGTATGTGTGCAGGGAAGCAGCATGAGAATGGCCCCGACTCAGGCTTTTATAACCAGCCTGCTTGCAAGAACTACTGACTCATAGCAAGGCCCCAGTGACCTAAGGCCCTCCTAGGCCACCTCCTAAACGACATAATTGGATTAAGCCTCTTCCCTCTTGGGACTGTTAACCTATGACTTTGGGGTTTAAATGTCTACTAAGAGTTTGGGAGCCAAATCCTATTCAGACCATAACAAGGACCATGCTAATCCTCTCTGGATTGTTGTAGTTGTACTATTCCTACTGCTGAAGCAAATCCCCATTGTAATTTTTTAATTAGATAACTTTTAAATATTTAATTACTTACTGGTTCACTCCATTAGCAGCCTCTCTTAGTACAAAGTGTTTTTGGTTTATCCTCAAGGGTTTTCCAAGTGGACGGTTAGGTCAGCAGCAGATGAAATGCCTTTTGTCTCTTCCGTGCCAGTAGTTGCTCCTTTTACTTCTGGCCCCTGCTGTTTTAAGTGTGTGGCCTGCCTTGTGTTAAACAGCAGTGACAGCTTTGATTTGTTCTCACTTTACTGTGGCATTTCACCATTAAATATGATGTGGAGGGGCCGGCACTGTGGTGTGGCGGGTAAAGCTGCCGCCTGCAGTGCCGGCATCTCATATGCACACCGGTTCTAGACCTGGATGTTCCACTTCCAATCCAGCTCTCTGCTATGGCCTGGGAAAGCAGTAGAAGATGGCGGAAGTCCTTGGGCCCCTGCACCCATGTGGGAGACCCCAAAGAAGCTCCTGGTTCCTGGGTTCGGATCAGCACAACTTCGGCCGTTGCGGCCATTTGGGGAGTGAACCAGCAGATGGAAGACATCTCTCTTTCTTTCTGTCTCTGTCTCTCTCTCTCTGTAACTCTGTCTTTCAAATAAATAAATAAATCTTTAAATATGATGTGGAAGGCTGGCCTAGAATACTTGTTTTGCATGTCAAGTCTTTCTCTTCCTGTTTGCTATCAGGACTGAGTGATGGGTTTTATGAAATGCCTCCTAGGCATTTTGTTATTACTTTGATTATTGCTTCTCTTTTTTTTACCCTGGAGTCTCTTTCAGGAAATTAAACTATGTGTATACTTGGTCTCTTGGGGACACAGTTATCTTCCACACCACATATTTTTTTAGACACTTTTGATCACCTTCATCGTCCTCTGATTTTGTTTTATCACCCAATATGCTTTGCTTTGTATGTTTCTTTACTGCAACTCTTACATTTTTAATCATTAGTCTGATTTCTTTGATTTCAAATTTCTTCTTCATGACTTCTTGCCCTATTTGCATGCCATAAAATATTCTTGAATTGCACCGAGAATACAAATTAGAGATTTTCTAAGCTCTCCTTTTTCTTCCAGTAACTTGGTTTCACAGGGGCGTATTTACTTGGAATTCTCAGATGGTCACCTTTTATGAACTGCCAAAAGTTTCCATACAGATCTAGCAACTTCTTTTTACAGTTTGGGTTTGTCCAGAATTGGAAATTGGAATACGGTTTCCACTAACAGCGTGCGGCTATCGTGTCCTCTATTTTATGCCCAGTTGAAGGAAGAGGGGAAAATGTTTTTTGCATTAGCCGGGGGAGGAATGGTGAGGGCACCGTTTTTTCTTTATTTCCTTTGTGTTTTATTGTTGCTGTTGCTTTGGTTGCTGCCTGAAGGTGGCTGTACTGCTTCTTTCTGTGGGGAGCAACTGGGAGCAACTCGGACTAGACTAAGTTACTGGAATTAAGACTTATTCTATGCATCTGCTCTCCCACAATATGGCGCTGAGAAGGGAGAAGCAGCTTCTACACAGCTGCCTCCAGTTCAACCAATAAACTGTAGGACCTACTCCTGATTGGAGGAGAGCAGCGTACTCGGCGTGTGGGTAGCAGAGTTGGGATTGGTGGAAGAGGACTATAAAGGAGGAGAGAGACAACATGCACCAGGAACATCTAAGGGGAACATCTGAGGGAACACCTGTGCAGCCCCCGAGAGAGCCGGCCGGCGGTGTGCTGCTCCCCCGCGGAAGTGGGGAAAGTGGCCAGGGGGAACCGCCCTTCCACGGAGGTGGAAGGGTCGGTAGCCAACCCGGGAAGAACCAGCAGCAAACCCGGGGAGGGCCGAGCAGACAGAAGAACAGCGCAGGGTCCTGTGTCGTTCCTCCACGAAGACGGGGAGCGACACTTTCTGCTTGCGTGGCTGCCCTTGTGGTTGGCCCTGGCTTGTGTTGTTGAGGTCAGCTGGTCATGGTGATCTCCTTTGTTTGGCCTTCCAGAGGGATGCAGTCTGTCAGAATGGTCTCTGCAGTGCCCACGGCTGAGGTCACAGCCTGATGGGCCAGTTGTCCTGGGTTATCATGATCATTCCGTCATGTCCCCTTCAATGCCTATCTATGTGCTATGACAGGAAAAAGTCAATATAAAGCCCTGCTTATAAATTGGAGAAGAAATAGGAAGAAAACAATCTCTAGTTAAGTCAAAACCTGGCTTAGGTTGACATCAGTTTCACAGGAGGCTGAGAGCTCAGGGTAAACTTTTGAATAAAATGAAGTGTGACTCTTCTCTTGATTTACGTGTTGATTACATTCCTAGAAATTTCAGTGTCAAATAATAATACTTTATAAAACTGTTTTCATTACAGGCAGTTTTCCACCCTTGCACATGCTGGCCTCTCTTAAGAAATGGGAGTGGGCTGTAGACATGCACAAAGCTTGGGGCAAGAATGCAAATTTGCCCATGGTGCTCTGATTGGTCCTTGAATATTCTAGAAAAGAATGTCGTGTTTTAGGGATTTCAGATGACCTATTGGGCTGTGGATTGGATGAACATAACTTTCTTACTTGTTTTCATTGTTTTTGTCAGTAATGGGTAAATTTTGTAAGGTCAGATTTATTTATTTATTTATTTTTATTTTTATTTTTTTATTTATTTATTTTTTTACAGGCAGAGTGGACAGTGAGAGAGAGAGACAGAGACAAAGGTCTTCCTTTGCCGTTGGTTCACCCTCCAATGGCCGCCGCGGCCGACGCACCGCGCTGATCCGAAGGCAGGAGCCAGGTACTTATCCTGGTCTCCCATGGGGTGCAGGGCCCAAGCACTTGGGCCATCCTCCACTGCACTCCCGGGCCACAGCAGAGAGCTGGCCTGGAAGAGGGGCAACTGGGACAGAATCCGGTGCCCCAACCAGGACTGGAACCTGGTGAACCGGCGCCGCAAGGCGGAGGATTAGCCTAGTGAGCCGCGGTGCCGGCCCCAGATTTCTTTTTTCTTCTCAGCTTTTCCCCCTAAATTCTAATTTGATATTTTCTCATTTCTATCACTTTGCAATCTGTAGTCTATCTCAAAGATGCCAAAAAGATGCAATGGTTCTTCGAAGGGTATAATTTTTAGGTAAATTTTCTTCAGCCTCTAAACTGAAGTTAATATAAAGTTTGAATGTATTTCATAATTTTATTGAAATATTTTTTGAATGATTAGACCACTTTTTATTGTATTTAAATATATTTTTTACAATAATCATATATTCACATGCAGTTGAAGCAGATAATACAGACAAGGGTGCACACTTGATGCAACACTGAGACTGCGACTTTGGATACCACTTTGGATCAAGTTCTGGCTGTTCTGCTACAAATCCAGCTTCTTCCTGATGCATTGAAGGAAGCTGAAGAGGGGATCTTTATCTGTTGTGTTTTAAAATATTTTTATTTATTTTCATTTTATTTAAAAGGCAAAGAGACAGAGGAGAGAGAGAGAGAGGCAGACAGATGGAGAGAGATGCTCTATCTTATTTTTTCTTTGACAGGCAGAGTTAAACAGTGAGAGAGAGAGAGACAGAGAGTAAGGTCTTCCTTTTCTGTTGGTTCACCCCCCAAGTGGCCGCACTGTGCTGATCCAAAGCTGGGAGCCAGGTGCCCCCTCCTGGTCTCCCATGTGGGTGCAGGGCCCAAGGACCTGGGCCATCTTCCACTGCACTCCTGGGCCACAGCAGAGAGGTGGACTGGAAGAGGAGCAACAGGAACAGAACCGGAGCCCCAACCGGGACTAGAACCCGGTGTGCCAGTGCCACAGGTGGAGGATTAGCCTATTGAGCCAAGGCGCCAGCCTGAGAGATGCTCTATTCACTGGTTCACTTCCCAAACACTTTTTTATTTATTTATTTATTTTTTAACAGGCAGAGTGGACAGTGAGAGAGAGAGACAGAGAGAAAGGTCTTCCTTTGCCGTTGCTTCACTCTCCAATGGCCGCCGCGGCCGGCGCGCTGCGGCCGGCGCACCACGCTGATCCGATGGCAGGAGCCAGGAGCCAGGTGCTTTTCCTGGTCTCCCATGGGGTGCAGGGCCCAAGCACCTGGGCCATCCTCCACTGCACTCCCTGGCCACAGCAGAGAGCTGGCCTGGAAGAGGGGCAACCGGGACTAGAACCCGGTGTGCCGGCACCGCTAGGCGGAGGATTAGCCTAGTAAGCCACGGCGCCGGCCCCCAAACACTTTTAACAGCCTGGGCTGGGCCAGATCAAAGTCAAGAATCAGGAACTCAATCTGGGTCTCTCCCGCAGGAGGCAAGGACCCAAGCACTCGTGCCATCATCCACTGCTTTCCCAGGAGCATTAACAGGGAGCTGGATTGGGAGCAGTGTTTTCAGGACCCAAACCGGCGTTCTGATATGGGTTGCTGGTGTCCCAGGTAACAGACCACCATCCTGTGCCACAACGCCAGCCTGGTGTGTTCAGTTTTTCAGGAATCTGCCAAACTGTGTACAAACACAGTTTGTCGTAGTTAGTGTAGCTGTTCCATTTTGCATTCCCACCAGGGATGTATGAGCAATCCAGCTTCTCCACATCCTTGCCCACGTTTGCTTTTGTCAGTGTGTGTGTGTGCTTGTGTGTGTACCAGCCATTGAGATAGGTGTGTATTGTGTGTGTGCTTGTGTGTGTACCAGCCATTGAGAAAGGTGTGTATTGTGTGTGTGCTTGTGTGTGTACCAGCCATTGAGATAGGTGTGTATTGTGTGTGTGTGCTTGTGTGTGTACCAGCCATTGAGATAGGTGTGTATTGTGTGTGTGCTTGTGTGTGTACCAGCCATTGAGAAAGGTGTGTATTGTGTGTGTGTGCTTGTGTGTGTACCAGCCATTGAGATAGGTGTGTATTGTGTGTGTGCTTGTGTGTGTACCAGCCATTGAGAAAGGTGTGTATTGTGTGTGTGCTTGTGTGTGTACCAGCCATTGAGAAAGGTGTGTATTGTGTGTGTGCTTGTGTGTGTACCAGCCATTGAGAAAGGTGTATATTGTGTGTGTGTGCTTGTGTGTGTACCAGCCATTGAGAAAGGTGTATATTGTGTGTGTGTGCTTGTGTGTGTACCAGCCATTGAGATAGGTGTATATTGTGTGTGTGTGCTTGTGTGTGTACCAGCCATTGAGATAGGTGTATATTGTGTGTGTGTGCTTGTGTGTGTACCAGCCATTGAGATAGGTGTATATTGTGTGTGTGTGTGCTTGTGTGTGTATCAGCCATTGAGATAGGTGTATACTGATACTTCATTGCCATTATTTTAACTTGTATTTCCTTAATGATTAATGATATTGAACATCTTTCTGTGCTTTGGAGATTTTTTGTGTGTGTGGTTAGTTAGTTAGTTAGTTGAAAGGTAAGTTACAGAGAGAGGGAGAGATAGGAAGAGAGAGAGATTTTTCATCTTCTGGTTCACTCCCCAGAAGGCTGGGCAGGAAGAAGCCAGGAGTCCAGAACCCCATCCGGATCTCCCACATGGGTGCAGGGGCCCAAGCACTTGGACCATCTTCCACTGCTCTCCCAGGGCATTATCAGGGAGCTGGATTGGAAGTGGAGTAACTGGGACTCCAACTGGCACTCCTATGGGAATACCAGTATTGCAGGCCATCACTTAACCCACCTTGACACAAGGCCAACCCCAGGATTTTTTTAAATTACAAATTCAGAAGTCTTTAGTAGTTTCAGGGCTATTTATATCATGTATCTCATATTAAGTGAGTTGTGACTTTCAAGCAATGAGTGCATTTCTTCAAAATTATCAAATCATATATGTGTGGAGTTACTGGTTGTGTTCCCTTTTAAGTCGCAGGATTTGTCATTATTCCTGCTGTTTAATCTGAATTACCTCTCTTTCCTTTGTCAGTCTTGCTGCAGGTTTGTCAATTTTATTGATCTTCTTAAGAACAAGCATTTAGTTCCATTGGTTTTTCCCTATTTTTGTTTCCAATTTAATCGATATCTGCTTTTGTTACCTTTTCTGTCAAATGAAGCTAATCTTATTCATCTCAGAGTTGTGAGAATTAAATGAAATAGTATATATAATATAACTATCTAGAGCAGAACTTGAAATGTGAGTATTCTTTTTTTTTTTTTTTTTTTTGACAGAGTTAGTGAGAGAGAGAGAGACAGAGAGAAAGGTCTTCCTTCCGTTGGTTCACCCCTCAAATGGCCGCTACAACCTGCGTGCTGCGCCAATCCAAAGCCAGGAGCCAGGTGCTTCCTCCTGGTCTCCCATGCAGGTGCAGGGCCCAAGCACTTGGGCCATCCTCCACTGCCTTCCCGGGCCACAGCAGAGAGTTGGACTGGAAGAGGGGCAACTGGGACAGAATCCGGCACCCCGACCGGGACTAGAACCCGGGGTGCCGGCACCACAGGTGGAGGATTAGCCAAGTGAGCCACAGTGCCGGCCCGAAATGTGAATATTCTTAGAAAGTATTTTTCCCCCTTGAGCTATCTTCCTTAATAGAATGTCTTACTTAGGCATTATGGCAGTTTAAAAAAAAGCACCTGTCTGCCTCAGTGTGTGGAGCAGTAGACTGGTGTTTCAGGCTGTCCCTTCTTTTTTAACTTTCTAAATGTTTAGTTATTTGAAAGGCAGAATGATAGAGAGGTAGAGGTGGGAAAAGAGATCTTTCATTGGCTAATTCATTCCCCCAGATGGCTGCAACAGCTGGAACTGGGTCAGGCTGAAGCCAGGAACAAGGAACTCCATCTGGGTTTCCCACATGGGTGGCAAGAGCTCAAGCCTCCCAGCCACATTAACAGGGAGCTGATCAGAAGTGGAGTAACTGGACTGAGACCAGCACTCCTATATGGACTGTGGGCATTCCAAGCAGGAGGGTTAACTCCTGGGCCATGACGCCTGCCCCAGGCTTTCCAGTCTTGAGATTTTTCTTTCTCTTTTCTTCAAAATGACATTCAACTCAAGTCTAGATTTGCACAGATACAAATTTAATAGTAATAAGAGTTGTTTAGTTTTGCAAAATATCTCTCAGCCACCACGGCCACTGTTGTAAATACCGCAAGGATTCCTGAGTGTTCTGGAACCACCTGTTGGGTAATTAAGAAAAGAATTAAAATGGAAAGTGGACACTTGGCACCTCTGGTCAAGTGTCAGAATCTACTGCATTCATTCTAAGACCTATTTAGTGAATTAAATCATTTCTGCTGTCTCTCAAGGAGAGCTCCTATTGGGCTCCGTTTCCAGTATGGGCACCAATACAACCCACAGACACTCCCAGCATTGGAACAATGTCCCTTTCTGTTTCAAGGACAAAGAGAAGAAAAAGGAAGTGTTTCGCTGGGGCCAGATGATATTACACATAACAGGAGATGCCTAGGAGTTTTGCTGTGTGCACACACGCATTTATAACATATTACACATGTATATTTAGATTATATGCACTTGTATCAGAATATCTATGCAGTATATATACCAATTAAATATTATCTATATACCATAAATACAGGATAAATATATTCATAATGTTATAAATATACTAAAATAGACAATACATTTATATTATGAGGATATTTCAGAAAGTTCATTAAAGAATGGAATTAAAAGATAACTTTATTTTTAAGGACTCTTGCATGTATATATAACAAAGCCACACCTCCAATTTTTTTTTTTATTTGACAGATAGAGTTAGACAGTGTGAGAGACAAAGAGAGAAAGGTCCTCCCTCTGTCAGCTCACCCCCAAAATGGCTGCTACGGCCAGAACTATGCTGATCCAAAGCCAGGAGCCAGGAGCCTGATGCCTCCTCCAGTCTCCCATGTGGATGCAGGGGCCCAAGCACCTGGGCCACCCTCCACTGCCCTCCCCGGACACAGCAGAGAGCTGGACTGGAAGAGGAGCAGCCAGGACTAGAACCCGGCGCCCATATGGGATGCTGGTGCCACAGGCGGAGGATTAACCAAGTGAGCGTCGGTGCCGGACCTCACACCTCCAATTTGAATGTAACATCTCAGAGTTCTTTCTAGCCTTGTCCCTTACTATATTAACCATCATCTCTGATGATGTTAGTGAGATGCACGGTGCTGATTACTGTTATTTGGTTTGCTGTTTGCTCAAATAGCCAATCTCTGGAACCCTGTCTCTGCCACCTCCACCCAACTCCCCAGCCACTGCCCTCCAGCCTAAGGCCCACCAACCTGAACCTCCTTTCACTGCCGCACACTCAGCTGTAGGAAAGATCGGCCCAGGACCTACCTTTGGTTTTTATTATTATTTTTTAAATTTTTACTTATTTTGTTTGAAAGGAGAAAGGCAGACGCAGAGAAAGACAGCAAAATGACCCATCTTCTGTTTCACTCCCCAAACGCTCCAACAGCTGGGGCTGGACCAGGCCGAAGCCAGGAGCCAGGAGTCAGGAAATCAATCCAGATCTCCCACATGGGTGGTGGGGACCTGAGTACTTGCTACCTCCTTGTGTGTGCATTAGCAGGAAGTTGGAATCGTGAACAGAGTCAAGACTAATGCTCAGACACTCTGATGCAAGTGTTCCAAGCTGTGACCTAACCACTATGCCAGATGCCTGTCCCTTACTATGGTGTATTATCAAGCCAATTAAGGGTGATTTTTAGGGAGTTGGGCATTTAGTGATGAGGACACTACTTGCAATGCCCACATTTGGTTTAAGAGGCCTAGGTTTGAATTCCAGCTCTTTTTCTGATTCCAGCTTCCTACAAATATATACCCTGTGAGGTAATAGGTAATGACTCAAATACTTGAGTTCCTGTGTGGGAGACCCAGATTGAGTTCCTGGCTTCTGGCTCTGGTCTGGCCAAGCTCCAGCTGTTCCAGGCATTTGGAGAGTGAACCAGTAGATGGGAGATCTCTCTGTCTGTTTCTCGCTCTCTCTCTCCTCCCCCCCCCCGCCCCACATTTCAAATAAATAAAATAAATAATTAAATAAAACTTACATGGTTCAGAAGGAATTTTTAGTTATTAAGAAAAATAGAAAGTGGAATTTTAAGTTTTGTGTGTATGTGTGTGTGTGTGTGCTGTTTGTATGAAAGAATTTGAGGGGCCAGCATCGTGGCATTGTGGGTAAAGCTGCTGCCTCTGGTGCTGGCATCCCACATGCATACTGGTTCTAGTCCTGGCTGATCCACTTCTGATCTAGCTCCTTGCTGGATGTACCTGGGAAAGCAGTGGAAGATGACCTGGGGACTTGGGCCTCTGCACCCAAGTGGGAGACCTGGAGGAGACTCCTGATTCCTGGCTTTAGATCAACCCAGTTCCAGCCGTTGTGGCCAATTTGGTGAATGAACCAGTGGATGGAAGACTTCTCTCTGTCTCTTGCTCTCTCTGTCTCTCTCTTTCTGTAACTCTGCCTTTCAAATTAATAGATAAATCTCTTTTAAAAAGCATTTGAGAAGTGTTACAGAGATATATGCAAGAATATAAGTACACAATAAATGAGGACGAAGGAGAAAGATAGGAAACTGACAAGCTGGAAGTAGGGTTGTGTGCACGATTTTAGGCTACTAGGTTAGGTTAGAGGAAAACCTGATTCATGTGACTAGATGAAAACAGCCAGTTACTAATGAAACACATGCCTTTTCCTGTGATGGAAACATTAAAAAAAAAGTCTCCTTTGGAAACCTGAAAGAGACAGGGACTCATCATTATGCAGTCTACAGAGTTATTACATAGATAAATATAAAAGGGCTAAACACTGCACCATTTCCCAATAGGTTAGTGTTTCTCCTTCATTACCATAAACAATCTATGCATTTATTCTCCCACTGCAGTATTGGATAAAAAACACAGTATTACTATTAGATGCCAGTGTATTTAACCAAGTGATGCCCGAGTCAGGAAAGAGGGCAGTGTGGTGTGCCAGAGTGACACCACAGGAGGACCAGACAGCATCCGGGGAGTGACGTGACAGCAGAGGGGGCAACGCACCCATGTAACACTGCAGTAGCACTTGGCGCTGTGCTAGAATACACACAGTCATCAACCTCAGGGATGGAGATATCAACAGTGAAGCATGCTTATATTAATAACCATGGTGTCCAGTGACTGAAATGTATGTATTCTACCCTTGGTTTCACCAGGAGAAAATACCTGCTTGTGTCACCACCCAAATGAGGTGCAATACAATTACAGCACAGACATTCCACTGCAACTCCTTCCTGTTAGAACCCCATGACTGAAGTCCTTGAGTAGGACCGACTGCTTCTTCTAAACACATGCACCAATTTATTGACAGAATTTTCCAAGAAGAATCATGACTCTTGCCCCTTAGTTCGAGCTGGTCCATGGTCAGAATGGCGTGGCCTGGTGCCAGCACCCTAAGCTTCCTCATGGAAGACCAGAGAAGGAAAGGATTGTGGGGTCCTCTATAGAATGCTATTCATGTTCCAGAAGAATGTTCTGCTTTTACTGATTCTGTATAGTCATCACATTGGGTAGAAGGGAAACTAGAGGTCTTTCTACTGAATTCATGGAATTTTAGAGTTCCAGCCCTTGAACTTGGCCATGACCTTCAGAAGTGTTCAAGTTCCTCAGTGGAAAACATGACCAGATCTCCTTCTTATGCTGCATTTCCTGGCTGGGAGCACACAGTAGATTCTCAGTGTAGTAGTCTCATTTCCTGAAAGTTCGTTTGGATTACTGAGTTTGCTGTTGAATTTGCCCTTGCTTGCCTCTTGATTTCCACTTTAAAAATTAATTTAGTATTGTGGGAAAGTACTTTTCCTAAGCAAATTACATTATACATGGTTAGAGTAAAAATACATCCTGTTGTACCTCACCTCTTCCCCCATGGAATCTTGCTGGGATTTTCAGTGCTGTTTCAATGAGATGTCTATGCTTATTTGATCAGTATCCAAAGATAGCCCAGTGGTGTTGGTTTTATGCTGTAGGAATTAGTTTGGGAGCATTAAGCCAAAGACTTATAATAAATTCAGTCAATATATATTTAATAATCTATGTAGAACATGTTACATCAAGAACCATAGAGTTGATGCCACAGGAACAAAAAATAGATTGGCATACAATCAGTGGAGCAACAAGAAGATCATAACTGCACTTCAAGAAGTGTGTGGGAAGTGGAGTTAAAAGATAGATTTGTTTGTGCAAAAAAAAAAAATTGAAATCCATGCATTGTTTTTTCATTTTCCATGAACGTTTTGAAAACTCCTTGTATAAGAAAAGTCATCTATAAGAGAGGGAACAGACATGGCTTTGTTCTCTCTTCTCTGCCACATCCTGATTGTGTGACCTTAAGCAAATTAATCCACCACTCCAGCTCTTGAGAGTAACCAAGTCTGGATTTTGAAATGAAAGTCATTGAAAGAGCCCCAGAACAGAAACTGGCTTATTCCTTTAAAAAGAAAAAAAGATGTATTTTATTTATTTGAAAGTTACACAGAGAGATAGAGACAGAGAGAGAGGTCTTCCATCCGCTGGATCACTCCCCAGATGGCCACAATGGCTGGAGCTGAGCTGATCCGAAGCCAGGAGCCAGGATCTTCCCATGTGGTGCGAGGGCCCAAGGACTTGGGCCATCCTTTGCTGCTTTCTCAGGCGCACTAGCAGAGCTGGATCAGAAGTAGAGTATCCAGGACTTGAACCGGCACCTATGTGGAATGCCTGCCAAGACTTTAACCTGCTGCAGCACAGCGCCGGCCCCAGAGACTGGCTTATTCTTACAGATGGAGAAACATGTGGGGCTGCAGCACATGTGTTGGAATCTAGTCAGTGTCATGGTGTTTGGTGCATGGTGAGAGTGGGTGTGCTGATGGTACGTGATGGGGAGTGGGTATGCCAAGCCTGCAGCTGGCAGATCTCTGGTTGGTGCCATCCTGGCAGCTACATCTGCACAAAAATAGGTGGGGTTTGGGTACACACGGGACTGAGACACAGATGCTGGCAATCCTTGGTTTCTCACTTCGTCTGGGCCTGTCATTTCCACGTGGGAGACGCTAGTCTAGGCTCAGGTCCCTGATGACTCCTAAAGTTGTGCCTCTGGTCCCCACTTGCCCCTTCTGCTCCAGAAACACATCTTCAGCTGTTTGCTGAAAATGTCTGGTAGAGGTTATTTTTTAAACTTTTTGAAAACCAGAGAGAGAGAGAGAGAGAGAGAGAGAGGAGAGAGAATCTCCCATCCACTGGTTCACTTGCCCCAAACCTACAACAGCTGGGGCTGTGCCGGGCCAAATCTAGGTCTCCCACATGGGCAGCAGGGACTCGGCTACTTGAGCTTATCATGGCTGCCTCCCAGCGTGCACCTCAGCAGGAAGCTGGAATTTGGAGTGGAGCTGGAACTCAAACCAGGTGCTCCAGTATGGGATGCAGGCATCCCAAGTGGTGTCCCAGCCTCTGTACCAAAGGTTTGCCTCTCTCGTGGAGGTTTTTTGTTTTTTTGTTTTTTTTTTTTTTTGACAGGCAGAGTGGACAGTGAGAGAGAGAGACAGAGAGAAAGGTCTTCCTTTGCCGTTGGTTCACCCTCCAATGGCCGCCGCGGCTGGCGCACTGCGGCCGGCGCACCTCGCTGATCCGATGGCAGGAGCCAGGTGCTTCTCCTGGTCTCCCATGGGGTGCAGGGCCCAAGCACTTGGGCCATCCTTCACTGCACTCCCTGGCCACAGCAGAGAGCTGGCCTGGAAGAGGGGCAACCGGGACAGAATCCAGCGCCCTGACTGTGTGCCGGTGCCGCAAGGCGGAGGATTAGCCTAGTGAGCCGCGGCGCCGGCTTCTCGTGGAGATTCTACGTGTGCATGTGTACTCTTCATTCATTCATTCATTCAACCACCAAGTATTTAGTTCCAGACATCTTTCTGGGTGCGAGGGATACAGGAATTAACCGAACAATGGAAGTCCCAGCTCTCAGGGATTTTACGTTGTGTTCCCAGCTTGTCTAAACTAAACTTAGCCTCCTCCTCACAGAGTTGCTTCCTCTGGCGTCTGGATTTGTCCTGACTGAAGTGACATTTCTTCTAGCTGGCTAAATTCTAGCACTAGCTTCACTGGCTTCCTTTCCCTCAGCATCTAATCGTCTTCAGCAGTCGCATCTGTCTTCTTTTTATTCCCTTTGGATTTCCGACCCCACCCGGTGCAGCATCTCTTACTGAAACGACAGCAGCTGCTGGTTAATCCTGCTCTTTTGGCCTGTATCATAGGGGTCATTATGGTCCTGTTAATTGAAAAAGTTGGTTAAATCAGGGAATCTTAAAAAAAAAAAAGAAACATATACGCTTTAAACTTTTTTTTTCATGTAAAATAAGTGTGATCATTCACTGACCTTTAGTTATAGAAGAAAAAAAATGTGATATATCCCAAATCTAATTGACAAAAGGGAGAAGAGATAAGGGAAGTTAATCAGCTAAGGTCTGGACCTCAAACCAACATAAGACTCTTTCATGTTCCTGAATATATGTTGAAACCTTGACTTAAATCCCATCTGTGACCACCAGGCACCATACCCTGTTTACCTAAAATCTCTGGACGGTTAGCTCCAACCAATTCAAGAGCAGCAATTACTTTTTTAAAAAAGATTTTATTTATTAATTCAAGAAGCAGAGTCACAGACAGAGTCACAGACAGAGGGAGTGAGAGACAGAGAGAGCTTCCATCCGCTGGTTCACACCCCAAATGGCTACAACAGCAGAGCTGGGTGATCTGAAGCAGGGAGCCAGGAGATTCTTCCAGGTCTCCCACGCGGGTGCAGGGGCCCAAGCACTCGGACCATCTTCCCATCTTCCACTGCTTTCCCAGGTACATCAGCAGGGAGCTAGATGGGAAGTGGAACAGCTGGGACTGGAACCTGGGGCCCATGTGGGATATCAGTGCTGCAGGAGGAGGTTTAACCTGCTCTGCCACAGTGCCAGCCCTAGCAATTGCTTCTTATTGGATATCCTCCTATTCCAAA